GGTTTATCCTGAGAAAAATGATCCTTTTAGATCACGAGAATCGTCCTGTGCGCCGTAACAGATCATTTACGATATGCCGTTGAAAATGATATGCGACGCTCGAACATGCGGCGGTTGCCGATATCTGGAACAGGACGAGCAGGACGATCGGACGGCGAATCTCGCAGAGTTCCTGGCGAACTGTCAACACGCGAAATGCAAGGTGGTTCGTCTGGTCCGTCAGCAAATAAGTAAACTGCAGGATATGCAGGTACGGGTCCCCGCATTTCCCGTAATTGGACCGATCGATCCTCCCGACACCTTCCCCACGTCGCTAAAATCGCCCTCCGGATCGTTTGGAGAACTCTCGCTCTCTCCGTTTTAAGATATACACCCCCGGCATACACGTTTACGGACGCGCGATGTTGACTTTGCTCTTGCACGCGATAATTCGAAGCGTTTGTGCAATTTGCGATGTGACATTCGGAAAGGAGGAGGCGCATCGAAGGAAATTAAACGTATATTTGTGTGCCGAGAAATTAAATATATAAAAAATTAAATATATTATACGCGCGCATTCTCGATGACGATAAAAAAGAATTTTTTATCAGAAAACGAAAAGGAGGAAGAGACAGGAAAAGAACATGCGATTTAAATTATTCAAATTTGCGCACTGCAAAAGTTGTATAAGAACTCTTTATTAATTTCTTATCAGCTATCATTTTCCCGTGAGAGGTAGACGGATTAAAAGAAATTGAGACGGAAATTGAGACGGACAGATTAATCTCGCAAATTGTTCGGTTCCATTCTTTTTCTTCTTGCTTTTGAGAGACCCGTCATCCTTTTTTTTTGCTCTTTTTCCACTGACGATTGTATCTCGGAGTTTTAATTTACTGCACAAATTTACTTCACATTTCCGCTTCATCTCGAAACATTAATTTCACTAACAAGGGAACCATCAGAACCGTCCTATTTTGATGGACTTCGGATTTGTTGTAAAGCATAAAATAAAAAAATATTAGACTCATATTTTTTTTATGTGCGCATCTAAAGGTTTAGGGAGTGAAACAAACTCTCTCGAGAAATGGATTTTTTTCATTTTCAGTGAATATCTTTAAAACATGAGATATATGGAAAAGTGTTTTATACAAAAGTTTTATGATATTTTATACTCTTTATAATGTATTCACATTTTTCGAAAATGTTAAGATTTTTCATTTATCGTCATCCACAGGAAAGTATTTCGATCATTGAACCTTGGAGATAAGCACGTAAAAAGAATATGGATTTAATGTATCATTGTCTGACAAATTTATGTTTTATCTGGACCACGAACTGGACTAAGTGATTCTTACAGATTTTTTATCACTGAAAATATGAATTCGTAAATGAAATTGCTCTATGAGATTACGTGTCTGGAAAAAATGAACTTAAAAAATATGCTGAAAATAACATGTTTGAAAAATATCTCAAAAATATGTCATGATGGAACAATTTCATTTATGTTCTTTTCCAATATAAATTAACTTTAATCTCAGTTTAACTTACTTTTTATCTTTTTCTAGTTTCTAGAATTAGAAAAAAATAAAGAGTAAATTAAATCGAGATTACAGTTAATCTACAACGGTAGAAATAGACATTAGTCTCGAAATACAATAAGTGTAGTAAACCTTAAACTTTAAGAAATTGATCAATCATAGTCGAATATTCTTCTCATGTTTGATTGTGCCTAATCAATTTTTTAAGACTTAAAATTTGCTACACTTATCGTTTTTCGGAATTTACGAATTCATTTTCAGCGACAAAAAATCTGTAGGAATCATTTTGTCTAATTTGTGGTCTACAATTCGTGTTATACAATTTTGACTCCCTACACAACATATCCAAAGATCAAAATCGATAAGAAACAATTCCCTAAAGATCCCGTGAAACCTCGCGTCTGTACGAGAAACTAAAAAAAAATTCTTCTAGCAATCAGCAGTTAGTAGTAATTTTGTACACTAAGAAAAAATGATTAAATTTTAATAAATATTTGAACAGTCTAGCGGAATATTTACTTACGGTAAATTATAAATATTTAGATAAATGAAAAAGATGATATCAAATTAATGCTTCTTGTATCTAATAAATATGTGTTTACATTTAGTAAATATTCCGCTATGACTATTCAAAGAAATATTTATTAAAATTCAGTAAATTTTTTTCTCAGTATACAGGAGAAATCTTTTTGTCGTAGTACGAGCGTTTACTGACTACGAGCGACGAGGTGCGCGAGAAGGTGCATAATGAAATGCCCACTGAAATGCACGAAGCGCTCAACAATGAAGTCCACGAAGTGTACAGTGAAGTACACGAGCCATACGATGATCTGCACGAGGTGGAGAGTAAAGTAGAGCAGGCGTTCAACGAATCGCACGACAATGTGTACGAGGCGCAGAAAGCTGCTGCAGTTGCAAAACGAATTGTCGAAGGGACGAACGCAGTAAGGGTTGGAAAAAAAAACAGATTTTGTTATCTTTGATCATTCAGTTTCTCGATTAATCGGTTATCAACAAGGTAAAGTTAGTCAGAACTATTAATAAAATAAAAAATATACTTTTTCACCCTCTGCTCGTCGACCGAACACGAATTAAAAGAACGATTTTGCTGAAATATATAAAAATTTAACCAAATACAATTAACGTTTAAATTTAATTGATACGTCGTGCTATACGGACGGAATACAGACATCGTTGCGATCAATATGTCTTGAACGTTTGTAATATATCTTTTTTATTAATTAACACGGTTCCGAGCTTCTTGTTGTCGCTCTTTTCCATTGAGATAAATCTCAATTTAACATCACTTCAGTTTCATCAATCTGTGAGTGACTTGCTCCCAGTGGTGACTTCGTCTATTTTAATATGCTGAGGAGGACTCCAAAGAGAGTTGAAACATTCAAATATAATAAAGGAGACATTATACAATCGTCTGAGTAATTATTTTCAATCTTAATAAATTTTGCGCTCACATATTTGCGCTGACTCTCATTAGCCTATTTTAAATGCTTTGTTTATTGTATTTTAATTAGATACAGATTTGGAAATAATTTTGATAGACCATCAAAATATTTATGCAGAAAACTCAAACATGATGAACAATGTTGCAGAAAGTTTTGATGTTCCGCCTTGAACGTCCTGCATATTAATTACTCTGATAGTTCAACAAAATTATTTTCAGATCTGTATCAAATTAAATTTTTAGACTTCAGCAAAAATCATTTCTCTCTATGAAGAGATACGAGTCGAACGTGTTCTAATTTACTTAAAAGCTTTCCAATGTAATCGAATTGTTTCCAAAGGATAACCCATTACGAGAGTTATTATTTTTACCTTTTGGATGAAATTAATAGCTCGGCTTATGTTCCCTGAATGTTCTCTGATAACCGCGCATGTCTAGAACGCAGCGACCGCATCCTTGCGTTGCACGGCGTCTCCTGGGAGAGCGGTGGACCGCAAGTGGATGCTGCGGATCCTGGATCGCGTTCGTCATCGAGCGCATCTGATACTGGCGGCCGCTGCGGTCGGCGTGATAGTCTGGACCGCTTTGGTGTACGGTGTCTTCCTGGGCGCGACGGCCTGCGGAAGCGGACGCACCTGTTTCCAGTCGTCTCTTAAATATACGCACGCTAAACGCACATTGTTTTAGCTCGTGCTATCCATCGATACCATAAACGACACCTCGTAAACGGTGATTAAAGTTAACTAAGGTTCAACCCATTTCACTTCATCGTGCGAAAAGAGATGGTTGATTACCAGCTAGCTTTAATGAAGATTTCTTAGAATCAATTTGTAGACGCATCCTTTTTCTTTTGCGAAATTGCACGGAGAGTGTTTACCTCGTTATCGTACATTTATTCGTCGAAGTATCTTTGGTGAATCCAAGTTTTTGTCACTTTTAAGAGATAAAGCAAAATAATATTATAAATATACTTTATATATATATATATATT